AAAAGCAATCTGTTCGCATAGATAGTCAACAAAATTTTGATATGACATGCACATAAACTCGTCTTCTTTAACATAGATGGGAACAATTCTGTCCTCCGTGTAATAAGTAAAATGTAGCTTGAAAAGATATTCAGCCATTGTCCAAAGAGCATTGTAAATTAGCAATGCTGGTCAGAATTCACACTGTTCACGCTAAAAAACGAAATGTCTTGCGCAAACAATAAAAGAGAAAATGGCGCCTTGGACTCAGACAGGTATACATTGTATCAAAAATGTTTATGCTACAGTTATAATGTTTTGATTAGTAGTGATAAAATCAGTGGCAATTTTATTAGGTACTTGCTCTGATGTATCAACATTTACCACAATCTGATTGTCCAATGTTTAGTGAAAACGATTGTAAATAAATGATAGAGCTGTGTATGCTCATAATACAGTGTTTTTCTTTGGAAAATACCATGGCATTGTGACCAATTTGCATAGAACGATGAGCATATTAAATACCTCTTATATTCATTGTTAGGCCAGACTTTTATTATTCCTTGTTCCGCAAACCCGCCGAATGAACAGGAGCCGAACATGAAATAAAAATAAAATTTTATTTCAGCGTAATTTCTCGCGCCCGCCAACTTGTAAGCGCCAAAAAATGCTAAAAAAATATTATTTTTAGGCTTTCGATGCTTTTCAGCATCGAAAGCCTATTGTTATTGTAATGTTTACTACTACTATTATTCTTATTCTGCCGTTTCTTAAAAACTCTTCTTCTCAAAGACGGGTTACCCACTTGACCTGATACTTCACAGACATAATCTATATGCAATTCTCTAAAACGTCAAAGTTTCCGATTCTTGATATGTGACGTCATTCGGCCGCCATCTTGGATTAAAGGCGAAATTTTCAATGCCGAATTGCACACCTTTCTGAGGGTCTGAGTGCTTCCAGTTTTTATGGTAGCAGTAGTGGGACAAGGGCTACAAATTTCACTAAAAAAATCTTTTTTAAATGTTTTTGCTAGAATTTTCGGAAATTTTGTTTTGCATCTCATTTACATAATTTTTGACTAATCCACTAACCCTGCGTAAGTTTGAAAGATCAAGTGCCATAGTATTTATTTTTCCAAACGTCTTCTCCAGGCGATGAGCCGTTTTTTAGAAATGTTTTTCCATATTTTTTGTATTATATCCTGCAAAGCATCATGGGAAAGGGGGAGGGCCCTGTACATTCTGTTTTAAATATCACAAGCACTATTACAGATAGGTACATGCAACCAGTGCAATATTGATGCTATGGGATAAGAGATGTGACTAACGTATTAGGTGACCATATATGGTCATGTGACCTCATTAAATATGCATGTCTCTAATATCTCAAGTACTATTCCATGTACAAACATGGAACTAACGTTATATTGAAGGCAATGGACAAGAGAATTGACCAAAATATTCATTGACCATATATGGTCATAGAACTCATTAAATATGCATGTCTCTAAATTCTCAAACACTATTGCAAGTACAAACATGGAATCAATGCTATATTGAAGACATTGGACAAGAGAAATAGCTAAAATCTTCAATGACCATATATGGTCATAAAACTCATTAAATATGCGTATCCCTAATATCTTAGGCACTATTGCAAGTACAAATTCGAACC